AGGAAGGGTCTAGGCCCAAAACGTCAGCCTTCCTGCTCCTATGATGCTGCTTGGCCTGCTGTGTTCATCCAGCTCTACACCTTGTTATCTCAGATTTTCCAGCATCTGCAGTTCCTACCACCACCAATTCGCTGTCTGTTAAGCTCCTTGAACACTGTTTTTCAGGCTGGAGGGGGACAGAAGGCATTTTCTAAATCTAAGAGGATCAGCAAATGCTTGGAGAACATGAGTGCACAGCTGTAGAGATTACAGCACTATATACATATATATATATAGTTATACCTCATTTAAAGCTTTGCATAAGAAGGGAGATCCTGGTGTTCATGGGGTTGTACGAATTTGCCAACAGCATGGATTAAGAAATTTATTGACTGACCATTTGGTTCTCAGCTCTCCTACTTGCTCTTTTGGACAAGGCAATGGCAAGCCTACTCATGGCTGCAGTCTACCTTTCGGATTCACCTTTCAGAACCAGTCCCTGCTTCCAGGTAACATCCAGGGGCAGTACTGGAGCAATGAACTTGCTTCTGGCCGGTGAGGGGTTTTACATATAAACAGCCTCATGTTAATGGTGCAGATGGGAAATGTGGGTTCAGCACCCAGAAATGCTATGTCTCTGACCCTGGATTGAAAATCCAGCTTGGATATTTGCCTACTAAAGCACATCTAAACACCCACAAGAAAAGTGATTGCCAGAGCAAGGCTCCTGGTTGCAGTCAAGCTTTGTAAGCAGGATCTTATGCAAATATCAAGATTCTGGTGACCTGCAGAAGAGTCAGCTTTCAGAGAAGGTCCACAGCAGACTGTTCCACTCAGGTATTTCACAGGCCAGCTTCAGGCCTTCCCCTCTAAGAGCAAGTACCCAAGGGGCAGAGGCACCACCCAAATGAGGAATAAGTGACTGCTGTCTGTACAACAAGCACCAAGGCTTGTAGCACTGCACTGGATCCCAGGCCAGAGGTGAAAGATGTTGGGAAGGGTCATAGGGAACCATGGGGAGGGGAGGGGAGGGGAGGGCAGGGCAGCGGCTCTCAGCAACATGGTATGGGTTTGCTCATTGTGCTCTCTCCTTACCATGAGCACCCTGCCTGCTGTTGTGTTCATATCAGAGACAGAGACAACGAGGCCATTAAGCGGACCCTCCTTCTAATGGACTTAATTAGGCTAGAGCTGAGAGGTGGCAGGGAGGGCACAACCATTCTACCACAGTTTTTTGTGAACACAACGTTCTATTGTTATAACACAGTACGGAATTGGAGGAACACAGCAGGCCAGGCTGCGTAAGAAGAGCAGGAAAGCAGATGTTTTGGGTCGGGACCCTTCTTCAGAAATGTGGGAGGAGGAAGGGGGCTCGGAAATAAATAGAGAGAGAAGGGGTGAGGCTGGGGAAGGCAGATGGGATGGTGATAGGTGAGTGCAGGTAAGCAGTGGTGGGGATTGGTCAGTGAGGTGGGAGGAGTAGTTTTTATTCTGTGCATTTTGCTTTACTGACAGTGCCTATCTTGTCCGAATGAAAGGACACACAAGGAAGACCTCAGTGAAAGAGGCTGAGCAATTTTGAGACTTTGAAATAATATGAACAACAGAAGAAATGAGGAGATTTGCTAATTCAACCAGGTCTGCTAAACAATACATTTTTGGCCGCTTGGATAACAGTGTATACTTGAGAGGATAATTTCTTAAACTTTGTGTACGACAGTTGTGTCGTGTGAAAATGCAGAAAAGTCTCATTTTTAAAGGTTAACTTTTTATTACTTTAATTTTTTTTTATTCTAGTACCACCCTTCTGGCAACTTGGTACAAACAGGAAGTCAAAACCAAAATCATACCACAGCTCTTCCGGCATTTTGAGAAGTCTGTGATGGGAAATTCTTTTAAAAATTGTACGTTTCTACCCAATGTTTAACTATATTCCTAAGTTATGTCAATTTTCCTTGAAAATCATCCTCAGCCTCTAACAAGTAACAACTTATGCTGCTCCCTACGACATCAATAAATCACAGACTTCTTCATGAGATTAATTTTTAATTGCTTCCAGAATGGAATGACTATTAATATATGTTGGTATACCACTATTTAACCACATTTATACTGCATTCCACCAACAATCAACTTCTAACAGTGTGTTAACAAGAATAATGTTCAGTTTAGGATTGGAATAGTGTACAATGCATCAGACCACAGCATTCACTTTTCCTGGAGTGTCCCAACTTGTTGAGAAGCACATAGTTTAGCAACAACCCTTCAATTAATGACTGGGATAATTATACACCCTCTCTATTTTTTCCAGAAGTTTGATCATTCTTTGCTACCTCCAGACATTGAGAGAGATTTGTGCTTTGTGATTATGAAGGCTGTAGTCATTAATTTGTCATGGTAAATGCACTGTTTCAAATCCTTGATATACATTTTAAATTTGAAATCTCCTATCAGTTTTTATTTGGAGGCTGATCTAAAAGCTACTTGTAAATAAATGAAGTGGTTGGGAACCAAACATAAATATGGCTGGACAGCCAGTTTGTTTGAACCTGTGCTTGTTTGCTGATACAGACTCTGGTATGTGTAATTTCCATCTCATGTCTTTCTCAGATGAAACTTTAGTCACATTGTAAACTCCAAATTGACATTATGAAGCTTTTCTTTGATAAAGGAGGTTTTGTTTTTTGGAGAAAGACAATACTAAAATACACATTACAATTGTCTGCTTTTTTTTATAGGAAGCTATCTCAGCCAACTCTACCATAATTATCCACAGCTCAAGGCTATAACATGCATGTAAAAGTGAATGTTGCCACAGCAACTCGAAGCTCCCTGAAGGAGCTGGTTGGCTCAGTTGTCTAGATGGTCTGTATGGATCAGATTGGGTGCCAACTGCACGGGGTCAGATTCCTGTTTGGGATGGGGTGGATTTGGGATGAATTTCTTGACGTACCCTTAGAGGTTGTGATGCTATGGGTCCAACGTATCTTCAAGCAAAGAACTGAAGAGGAGCATCTGGGCCAACTGCTTTCCTGCAGGACAATAATCGTAAGCATAGCGCCTAGTAGGCTAGGCAGCTGCACGACAACCTGGAAGTACATGTGCTGCACATAAATTGGCCCTTTTAAGTTAGTGTGTGTATATGGATGCATAATCATTTTTTAAAAGGACCATGCACTTAAATAAATCATCTGTCTAACCCTCTAATTTGTTGGAAATGTTGATTACAGATAACTTAAGTATCACTGCACTGCAGTGTATAGGTCAGGTAATTAAGTAAGTGACACATGTTTCTTTTCGTGATCAGAAGCAATGAATTTACCTTCACATTACTAGTAAGTGAAAAGCATCACAAATTTATCACATCTTTGAAATATTTGACATATGTAAAACATGCAGATGCCTATATATAAGGATTGTTGTCATGTAGTTGGGCTATGACTAGTTGTTCCTACTCTACCTAAGTTCTAATACTAATGAATAACATGATTGCTAATTTACTCAGAGCTTGTTTGACCTAGAGTTAAATGATACAAGTGGTACTAATTCCATGTACACTTCCAAATTTCCACATTCCAGGTGCAATTCCCAGAAGTGAACATCACTCCTGCTCCGTACATTAAAATCTTTTATTCATAGATTCTGGAAAGTTCGCACAGAACTTGGAATTTTTAAATGCTTTGAAGTATTATATAAACCAAGCAATGTTGTACAATTCCTATAGTATTGTTAATGTAGCACTTGTAAATAAACAGACTGAAGAGGTGTCCTGGCACGATGGTATTTTTGCTCTCTCGCTTTATCGAGTCTATATAGGGTGCATTTATGTAGAGTACTGGATACTCCTTAATACTGGATAACAAAGTCAATTGTTAAGAGTCAGCAAGTGAACAGGTAGAAATTAAGTCAGCTTGACTGCAAAAGCAGCCAAAGAAATATATTGTAATTGTAGTGCAGACTCAATGACTCAAACCAGCATATCTGAATGATTGTTTTATTTAACAGTTTGCGTGTAATCATCTTAATGAATAGAATATAATAGGTAAACAATTTTAATCTCCTCTGGGGTAATCCAGAGAAAGGAAATGAGTCAAGTTTGAAAAAAAGTAAAAGGAGTTTAAGTTATGAGAATTAGCACCATTTCTGATCCTTGCATATATGATGCTCTAAATTGTCAATTAACAGAAGTTGAGAGGTATATAGAGTTTGTTAAAACTGGTGGGCTTTGCCAGGCAACATCAAAGATCATCATGTGAATTGGAGCGTGAGGAAGAGACAACATTTTTCAAAGCTGCAAAGTGTTATTGTGTATTAAATTACCAGTTTAATTCTACAATGTTGAGACAGACGTCTGTCATTGCCTCCACTGGTTGGCCATTAGCATTAGGACATAAAGACATATGCAGTAGACTTATGGGAAAACCACCATACACAATTCCCCTCCAAGTTACACATCATACTAATTTTGAAATCAAACACCATTCCTTATTTCATTGGTTCAAATCCTGCAACTCCCTCCAAAAAACACTACGTGTACTGACACCACCAGGTCTGAAACTTCTCAAAGGCAGAGCTGAGCAACAAACACAGGCCTTACCTTAAAGTCCACATCATTGAATAGATAAAAAAGAATTGCTATCAATGGTTCTCTTAACATTTCAATTCCTACTCCACATGGCCCCTCCCACCGATCCCAACACCCTTTTACACAGGGATACCTCAGATTTGCCTGATACAGATTTGATTGTGTACTGAGCAGCAAGAAGAAATCTGACTGTAGCATTCATATACATGTGCAAAGCACCCATTACGCCTCCTTTCCAAAACTCTGGCTCTGGCTGTACACAAAATAAGGGGTACATTTTAATGGAGGCTTTGAGGGTTTTACCTACTGGTTTCAAGCCAGACAGAGATCTACATTTATCCTCTGGGCAGAATGATGTAGCTCTCAGACACTTAAGTGGCATGGCTGATCTCCTTTAGGATCAAGGATGGAAATTTAAGTGGAGGAAGAAAGGGGGTTCTTTCTTTGAAGAGTACGCTGTGCATACCAGGGGCAAACCGTAGAAGATAATATCCTCTTTCCTTCCTTCAAGCATGGACTGTTAAAACCCAGCCTTCTTAAGACGGACAATTCCTCCCAGTCAATGGTTCTTACTTGCAGGGGTTCCTGGACCATGAACCACTGCAGCTTTTCCATGGGCCTGTCTGCAATCCTGGCAATGCTCAGTACTGAGCTCTAGCTTTCTGCAGCTGCTGGCTCATCTGATCCAGGAGGTTGGAGTGTTTCCCACTTGGGATGGAAGTCACACTCTGTGCTAATTAAGCCCATCTACTGCATGTTATGGCTTTGGGGCAGGCTTCTCATGGGCCTGTCAGCTCAGCATCAACTTTCCTTCCAAAGAGCGGGGCAGCCATCCACCACCCCTACCCCTGTTAAATTCTGTCCAAGGTTTCAAATGTTCCTTCATAACAGTTAATAAAAGAATCCCTACAGTGTAGAACAGGCCCTTCGGCCCAACAAGTCCACACCAACCCTCAGAGCATCCCGCCCAGACCCATCCCCCTATAACCCACTGAATCTATACATCCCTGAACACTACAGACAATTTAGCATGGCCAATCCACCTAGCCTGCACATCTTTGGACTGTGGGAGGAAACCAGAGCACCCTGAGGGGACCCATGCAGACACAGGGAGAATGTGCAAACTCCACACAGGCAGTCGCCCAAGGGTGGAATCAAACTTGGGTCCCTAGCACTGTGAGGCAGCAGCGTTAACCACTGAGCCACCATGCCACCCCTTACTTTTAGGGTTTTTAACCTTATTTCACGGGCTATCTCCAAATCTAAATTCGCTGCTGGGAGAAATCAGGATTGTTGGATGCAACTAAGAAGCAAAGAAACAATCAGGAGGCCTCCTTTCAAATTTTTGCATCTCTTGCCAGAAAACACTGAATTTAACTTCCGTTCATCTGTGACTTCGGGTCAGCGAGGCTGTGTGAATCTTTGGCTCTTCCTATAGCTGGGTTTAGCTCACTACTGTCTAATTATAATGCAGCAATATCGGGAGTGTGTTTACTCTATTGAATCAGAAGGTTTTTCTTGAAAAAACCTTTCAATTTCAGGTTGTTTCTGTTCAAGAACAGAGAAAGAGATTGTCGGGCGAGGGGCTTTTATGGAACAAAAGCAAAATACTCAAAAAGGTAACAACAGACAATTTATAGCAATAAAAATTATCATAGTACTAAACTGAAAAAAAGCACTGAAGTCTGCCTGGAAATGAATTTCAGTCTTCTATACCTGCTTAGCAACTGGAAGGTGTTGGACCCTCCAGCTGAGTTTTACTAGGCGCTTATATTAGTTATCAACAAGGACTCTAGGGGATCAATTGAGAAGTAGAGGTGGGCCCTGAAGGGGAAATGTCTGACCTTTTTGCCAATATAAACTGTAATGAAAATGGAAACTGCTGTTTTCCAGCCAAGCATTTCCTGATCATTCATTTTGCAGTCCGCTGAGCTCCAATACAAATCATGCCACTGCTTTAAGAGAAAAATAATTTTACATGCCTATAATGTACAGTAAATTCGTCAAATTTCTTTTGCCCGATGTGACTCAAAACACACATGCTATGGCATGGTGTTCTGTGTTGTCTGTCTCTAGCCTCCACACCCAAACTCCATTGCTTTTAGTTACTGAACATCTCATATTTGCCTATTGTAAGCCAGACAGCTCCAGAAAAATAACAGCCTGGGAAGCCATTTACAGTATTGCACTCTAAATACCAGAAGCGTTTCACTGTAAATAAATATTTGAATACAATTCAGCAGCACTCCTGTGAAACACTAAAAACAAACAATTTACAGTAAATAGAATTACTAAGTGTAAAACTGACTGGGTGGTCCAATCAGCATACTGTTTGTTCACTGAATCTTGGGTTTGAAACAAGTTCGACCGATATCCATGGAAATCCCCATCCTGAGTGTTAGCTTGGCTCAGAGATAACACCGTTGCATCTGAAGGCCGTATCTTCAAACTTTCACAACATTGAATATTTAATTAGGGCTGTGATTTACACTGAAAAGGGCCTAGGCTGTCAGAGGTGATAATTTTCCAGATGAAATTTAAAACTAAACTCTATTCTGATACATATCAGAAAATGCCATCCCACTACTCAAAGTTCTCCTGGTGTCTATCTCTCTCTCTCATCTGAGGTTAAGGCTGAGATTGTTGAACTAACTGCATGCAAACCAACGTCCTGGACCTGACTATGCAGCTCTCTGCTAATATGGGTTTGTACCGAATTACTTCCTATGGAGATCTCTTTGCATTACATTTCAAGTTCAATATCCATCACAAACATCAGTTATTAGTAGACTGGTTAGCAAGGTTAGAGCACATGGAATACAGGGAGAATTAGCCATTTCGATCCTGAACTGGCTCGAAGGTAGAAGACAGGGTGGTGGTGAAGGGTTGTATTTCAGACTGGAGGCGTGTATCCAGCAGTGTGCCACAAGGATCATTGCTGGGTCCTCGGCTTTTTATCATTTATGTAAATGATTTGGATATGAACGTAAGAGGTTTGGTTAGTAAGTTTGCAGATGATGCCAGAATTGGAGGTGTAGCGGACAGCAAAGAAGATTACCTCAGAGTACAACAGGATCTTGATCAGATGGGCCAATGGGCCGAAGAGTGGCAGATAGTTTAATTTAGATAAATATGAGATGCTGCATTTTGGAAAGGCAAATCAGGGCAGGACTTATACGCCTAATGGGAATGTCCTGGGTAGTGTTGCTGAACAAAGAGACCTTGGAGTGCAGGTTCATAGTTCCTTGAAAGTAAAGTTGCAGGTAGACAGGATAGTGAAGAAGGCTTTTGGTATGCTTGCCTTTATTGGCCAATGCATTGAGTATAAGAGTTGGGTGGTCATGTTGCAGCTGTACAGGACATTGCTTAGGCCACTATTGGAATACTGTGTGCAATTCTGGTCTCCCTGCCATAGGAAGGATGTTGTGAAACGTGAAAAGGTTCAGAAAAGATTTACAAGGATATTGCCAGGGTTGGAGGGTTTGAGCTATAGGGAGATGCTGAATAGGCTGGGGCTATTTTCCACGGAGCATTGGTGGCTGAGGGGTGACCTTACAGAGGTTTATAAAATCATGAGGGGCATGAACAAGGTGAATAGACAAGGTCTTTTCCCCAGGGTGTGGGAGTCTGAAACTAGAGGGCATCGGTTTTAGGTGAGAGGGGAAAGATTTAAAAGGGACCTAAGGGTAGTGCATGTATGAAATGAGCTGCCATAGGAAGTGGTGGAGGCTGGTACAATTACAACTTTTAAAAGGCATCTGGATGGATATATGTATACAAAGGGTTTGGAGGGATATGGGCCAAATGCAGGCAAATGGGACTAGATTTATTTAGGATATTTGGTCGGCATGGACGTGTTGGACCAAAGGGTCTGTTTCCATGCTGTACAGCTCTTGGCTCTATGAATGTCTCTATGTTGCCAATAGTACTCTTCCAGAAGTTCATAACTAATCGGATTCCTCTTCAATGCAAGGCGATCTCACATTTCATTGAATGTTTATCTGTAATAGCAAGTTTGTTGGGGTTATTTCCAAGCAATGTGGGGTGTTTAAAGGCAAGTAAAAGCACCACTGAACATCTTTACATCAGTGAAGGAACAGTAACAGTATATATTCACAACCTTCAAAATCTCCCCTCCCCCAACCGCATCCCAAAACCAGCCCAGCTTGTCCCCGCCTCCCTAACCTGTCCTTCCTCCCACCTATTCCTCCTCCCACCTCGAGCTCCACCCCCATCTCCTACTTACTAGCCTCATCCCGCCCCCTCGACCTGTCTGTCCTCCCTGGACTGACCTATCCCCTCCCTAACTCCCCACCTACACTCACCTTTACTGGCTCCACCCCCACCTCTTTGACCTGTCTGTCTCCTCTCCACCTATCTTCTCCCTTATCCATCTTCTATTCGCCTCCCCCTCTCTCCCTATTTATTTCAGAATCCCCTTCCCCTCCCTCATTTCTGAAGAAACAAGCCAATCATTCACCCATCTAATCTGTGCTGCTCAGCTTCCCTCCATATAAGATACCTGTTGAAATCTCACTCCTCTGCTTGTCTTTGATGCCGTATCTATCATTGTTCTGGGACATAAGTAAAGAAAGCCCCAAAAGTCATGTGCTACTTATACATTAACATGGCTTGTACTGCTGTACATCGAAGAGTTTATAGCCTCTGCAGATGTTGACAAGGAGCAAATCACCCAAATTTTATTTTAAGACTACAGAGTGCACTGCCTTTTAATAAAAATCTCTGGTTTATCATTAAGGCAAATCACTGATTGTTAGACTAGTCACAGGCATACCTTTTCATTACCTGCGCGTTTGTGTGAAGTGACTTTGTACAGTCGCCAACTAAAAATTATTTCAGGAAGCTGCTCAGGGACCCCTCCCAAAACACAAGTTCAATACTGCCAATGTACAAGGACAGGATTAACTTTAACTGTAACATTCTCGGCACTTCAATTGTTTTCTGCCACTGATGTTAGTGCACTCTGATAATTGTCCTATTGTCCAATGAAATAGATTTTCAGCTTGAAATCGATGGAAATGAAAGTAGGGCAGTTTTTGTAAAGGGTGGACAAACAAAAATGCTCATTTTACACCTGGTTGGCAAGTTGAAAAACACACCAATGTCTTCTGCAGAGAGGCAGGAAAAATCTGGTCCAAAATGATGATAGAGCCAATAATAAAACATGACATACTGGCAGCGTTTGTCACAGTAGAAACCGGAAATGAATTTCACGTTTCCTGTGCTACATAGAAATAAACAAAGCCGGGAATCTGATACACTCAAACAACACACAAAACGAGTAGTAGAAATCTACCTTGCTTGTAGGAGGGGCATTGTCAACCCAAGGGCTCCTGTGTACAGATGGTGGAACCTGATAGATCTCATGGCCTTGTGCACCTTGGCCGGATGCAGTGGGAGGCACCTGATATATGTTCTGACTCAGTTGTGAAGGGGGTACTTGGTAGATAGGATCTCGAAAAGAACTTCCACAGCCAGAAGGGCCTTGCAGGCTTGGGGGGACTTGATAGATGCCTTGCTGCAGTGACTGCTGTGTTGCCACAGAGGAAGATGGCTCACTTGTACAACTGTCATAAATAGGCCCCACAAGAAGTTTGAGACGATTGCCAGGGGCAATGCCCTGTCGTCCATGCAGTGAGCAAAGCCACCATCCTTCTAACCCACCAGTGTTCTGTTCAATCACCATCAGGATATCTCCTTTACGAAAAGATAGTTCCTCTGGAGATTCTGGTGCATTGTCATATAAAGCTTTGGCCATAAGATTCTAGAAAGAAACAGGAAAAAAAACATCATTAGAGACAGAGTCAGGGAAGACATGAAAAATTGCCATATATATAAAAGATGTGTGCACCCAAACAATGAATCACATGATGCTTCCAGATCCTTTAAGCTCAGCTGGTTCACTGGGACCCTTTTGGCCCACATTTGTTTATGATGTTGTTACATGTCAAAACCTTGCTGCTCTTTAGGTGCAGCGCCTTGCTAGACACCACTGCAATTGGAAGTGGGATTAACATTTTCAAAAATAACAAGTATTTTGATAGAGTAAGTAGATATAGTAGGCAGATAGAGAAAGCGCTTAGCCATAGGGTCAGTTACAGGGGACAGAGTTAATATGATTAAAAGAAAGTGTGGGTGGGGATAGAAACAGGGGAAATGACTATTACATAGCAATTTGTTATGGCCTGGAAGAGCAATAAAGTACTGTAAGCAAAGTCACCATAGTCCTGCTCGTTCCTTAGAGACATGGGAGAGGTCGAGAAGAAAGGTCCTTCATTGTAACCTCAGCTGGTGTGGGAATTAAACCCACGCTGTTGACATCATTTTACATTGTAATCCAGCTATTGAGCCAACTGAGCAAAATGGGGCCAATAGATCTGCAGATGACGTTCCATTCCATACTGTTAGTTGCTACAAATGCAACATTTAAGAAAATATGATTTGACTTTGTAATCTTTCAAAAAGTTTAACAAGTCCAAACAAACTGTAGAGTACATTTATACAACAAACACCTCTTCAGCATGGAATGGTTTCACTATAGTTATAGTATAAATGCAGCCTAAATTTGGAATCGGGGAGTGACCCAACAATATAATGGCATAGAGTTAGCACACCGAGAAGAGGAAGACTCATGTTCTTCAGCTCAGAGACGCGTTGGATCTCAACTCTGCATTTATGCTTCACAAGTTTAGTAAAGAACACTGTGAATATTTCTAAATAATTTCATTTAGGAAAGAAAATTAAAAATATACAAAATGTCATCAGGCTGCCTAAAGTATTTAAATTGCCAACTCCTCACAAGCTGTTTCTTGCTTAAGAAAGCTTATCCAGCAACTTAAGCAAAACGGAATAAAGGAGGAAATTTTGGCATGATTTCAGTTCAAATTAAACAACTGCGAATTAAGAGGATTGACTGCATTACTGATGATAGCAAGTACTTGGTCAGCAAATCAAGAATCAGAGAAACCTGCTTCTTTTTATTACAAGGATTCACAGACCCAATAGATCACTCCTCACTTCTCTTTCATGAAATCTACTCTTTTACACTGAAATTCTACAACACAAATACATTGCTTTCAGCTTTCAAACTATCATTGTTATCCTCAGTGTGAAATGTGCACAAGTCACCAAGTGCTGTTACAACTTTCTGCACTTTTCTCCTCATTACATTCTGCTTTGGCATTTCACAAAGTGCTCACCCTAAACAAATAAACCACAGGGTCTAAATAGAGAAACTGCCATCTCAAGACTTAGGGTGTGCAATGGACGCAGTGCTGACTTCACTGGACAGGACGTTCAACCACCAAATCCTTCTCACTGTTACACAATTAACTCATCGCGTTTCCATTAAAAAATTTGGACGGCTCTTCTGGTGCAATGGTATTATCCCTACCGCTGAACCAGAAGACTTCAGACTCAAGTTCTAACTACTTCAGACGTGTATCATAACATCTCTGAACAGACAGATTAAAATTATTTCCATTAAACATTTCTTCAAAGAAAAGTGGAGTGCTCAGTGTGTTCCATGAACAATGCCAATCAAGATTACTTAAATCAGATTACGATGTCATTACTAGGCCTTTTGTGAACTTGGACACAAATTGGTTGCTGCATTACAACAATGATTACACTTGTTCCACCCTTGCTGTATGCATAAATAATTGAGCCCAAGGCAGGAAACTGGAATGAGGTCAATGTATTTCAACCTCCTCCAGTGGGAGGGGACAATACATGTTTCTGATGAAACTGGAGTTGCCATAACACAGGTATACACAGGCACTATAAACTGTCAGAAAGTGCTGCATGAGTGGAATAACTTAAAACCCATCTATCTTGGGAGCACAGCAGATACAAAATAACAAGGCCATTTTGCCTTTCAGAGTTGCCCTGGAATAATTGTTGCAGAGTGTATCAGAAATGTTGGGACTCAAAGCTCTCATGCTTTGGGTATAATTAATGTCAAAAAGACACTACATTGACATGGATGGGGATTGACCATCACTGTGAAGACAGAAAGCGGTATGGACACTACCGGCACCTTTTTCAAATGTACCATTCCTGAGGTTGAAGAATCCACCAACTCAATCTATAGGAACTTGGCAGGGGATAAGATGGCTAGAAGTGGGTGGAAGAACAGGGAAAACAAATGTGGTGAAGAATGATGAGATGGCAATAGTCATAAGGGGAAATTTCCACTCAATGGTCGGAAACAATTGTCAATGGGGTTCAGAGAAGGACAACAAGAATAAACACATCATGTAGTTGTTTGCTCTTGTCTGGTTCCAAATGAGACATATTGCACAAGTGAAGGAGTGGCACAGCACTGTACAACGCCTCCATAACTAAGAGCAAAGTACAAACACAATTCTACACAAATGCTGGCAACAAAACAATCTACATTCAAACAGCCAGGTTTATCTTGATAATACTATCTGGTCCCTTTGGAGCAGATGGGGGAGCACGGGAAATTTTCATTTACTGCTGAATCACACCCAGTGCAATCTAAGGAAATCTGAATTGAAGACGTGTACTTGTTGCACCCACTTTTGCTGTCATCAGGAGCTGGTCAGTAGAAAAGAACTCTGACAGGTGTGCTATCATGGAGCAAAGGATCAAAACTACTTTTTCCTCTCCATTTGTCTGATGTCTCAGGTGTCATCCAGGACCAGGCCAGGAAAATTAGCCTTCATACTTTTCAGATTATGGGATACTCTTTTTAAATACACCTATTATTCAATTACACTGCTGAATGAGGCAACCCTGGGTTTACACATGACAGTTATAAGTTTCTTTAGTAATGCACAAACCATGAGTTCAACATGTGAAGTAAGATTAATTACATCAAGGTCTTTATTTCAAAGGGAATGGAGTATAAAAATAGGAGGTTTTGTTAAAACTAGTCAGACCACAGCTGGAATACTGTGAACAGTTTTGGGCCCCTTATCTAAGCAAAGATATACTGGCATCAGAAGCAGTCAAGAGAAGGTTTACTAGACTGACA